AAAGTAACAAAATATAATGTAATTTCTAAGACAAAATTCTGAATATAGAAAGTGAGATACATCTTTTATCAATGACTTGGATACAGAACCAATATCAACCAATGAATATTGATGAGGCAAGCCTTTCAGACATCTAAAACACATTCAAATACTTGCTATCATTAAGAAATCAAACTGAGACTCGGAACAACAACAACAACAACAACAACAACAACAACAACAACAACAACAACAACAACAACAACAAAAAAATATATATATATATGTATATATATATATATATATATATATATATATATATATATATATATATATATATATATATATATATATATATATATATATATATATATATATATATATATATATATATATATCCAATATAAACAAAAGCAAAAAACGAATAAATTAACGGATGACCAGATAAATAAACAAATCAATATACTAAAACAAGACACTTACATTCCTCACTGACACATTTGCCACGTACTTCCAGTGGCGCACGAGAGTATCCAAGTACCTGTAGTTTGGATACGCATTGGCAACATGCTGGAAAACCTCAATGGCGCGACTGAGGCTGACATTAGCTCCAAGGATAAGTGGCTCCCCAATCGTGACATTATACAGTGCCTTCACTGCATTCGTGCTGATGTATGTTGTATAGGGGCCGTCCTCTTTATACACACCTGTGAGAGTTTCCAAAAGGACGGAATGAATATGTTTGTAGATATTACTGTGTCATGTTATAAAGTTCATCAGCCTTTTTCTTAATTAATTTGAGTATGCAATTATTCTTGTTAATTAACAAAGGGAATTAATCTGACAATTTCTTAAAGCCTCATAGGATGTCAACTTCTAGTCAAGTATCATTTTCACAGAAGATTACTAAAACATCTAAGATTAAAGACACAAGATTGAACTTTCAGTTTCATTAAAGCTCTTACGATTTTTCATTTGAATTTTCACATTACTCTACAACACTAATGATATTGAAAAAGATAATGTCAAAAACATGGATAATATCAACAAGGCCATTAATTCTAAAAGATGTAATAAGTAATAAATGTAAAAATAAAACAACATAATAATATTACTGGTGCAATACATACCCTGTCCAGTGTTGCCAACTACAATACAATACTTTTCGTCTCGTTTGATTTTCTTTAAGGCATTCTTTACTCCCTGAAAATGAAAGGGAAGAGAAAAGCGAGGGAAAAATCAGATATGCTCAACAGACATTATAAAATACACATCATTTAAAACTTATTGTCACATAAGTCAAACACACATTTTCCTTCTGTGCATTTCTTCCTAAACATTATTACATGAGAAAAACACAAAACAAAAAAATCCATTTAGTGTCCAAACTAGATAACAAAAAATAAATACTCTTTTTATAGCAATAACAGATACATAAAACATCTAAAAATGTCAGACCAACTTATATATCTACCTAGCCATATTCAAATCTACTTTCTGCTGTTATTAATGGTATAACTAATAATACCCCCAAGTACCAAGGCAGAACATACCACGAGGGTGAGAGGTCGGTACCACTGGATCTCCCCATCCGTCAATTCAACTTCCTCTCCTATGGGGTCGGCATCATCGTGGTCTTGTTGTTTGTTTTTACAGCCTGGTTCGTTTTCCTCCTTGCCGGATTCGCACTTGCCCTTACAGACATTGCCGGTCTTGGGACATTTTGCCTTGTTTGCTTCCTGTAAAGACAAATTACATATTCTTAATTATGTTTTTCACATTCCACCTTCCTAAAATAAAATGGAAAGGACACGAGCTCATTCCTTTTCAAAGAGACTCCACCTTAAGTATCTCTTGATTCTTACTGTTTTTTTGTTAAAATTTTCTTTCTTTTTTTTTTCCCCTCCATGCTGACTCCTCTGAGTTTGTTTTGCATACACTCTTGTGCTCATTAATTCTATTATCTTATGGTTATCTTGTTCATTAACTTTCTCTCTTGTGCTCTTTCGTTTTATGAGTTTATTGATTCCTTATTTATCAACTTTTTCACCTGAATTTTACTGCATTTGAAAAATATTGGTTATTATTAATATTAGTTATTAAAAATATTAGTTATTATTAATATTAAATAAAAAAAAACATTAGATTAACTACTATAGTTTTCATTTATAGTTTTCTCTTCCTTACTTTGATCTTTTTGCAAATATATAATATGAAAATTATTTTTTAAGGACAATTTTTCCTTCCTAAATCCTGGAATGACAGAAATAATAAAATTAAGAGAGAAAAAAACAAGGAAAGAAAGGAAAGAAAAGAAGAAAGAGAGAGAGAAAGAAAGAAAGAAAGGAAAGAGAGGAAGAAAGGAAGGAAGGAAGGAAAGATAGAAAAATAAAAAATAAAGAATGGAGAAAGGAAAGAGAGGAAGAAAGGAAGGAAGGAAGGAAGGAAGGAAGGAAGGAAGGAAGGAAAGAAAGAATGAAAGAAAGAAAGGAAAATAAAGAAAGGAGAAAGGAAAGAAAGGAAAGAGAGGAAGGACAGAAAGAAAGAAAGAAAAATAAATAAAAAAAGGAGAATTGAAAGTAAGGAAAGAGAGGAAGGAAGGAAAGAAAGAAAGAAATAAAGAAAGAAAGGAGATAGGAAAGAAAGAAAAGAAAGGAAAGAGAGGAGGGAAGAAAGAAAGAAAAATAAATAAAGAAAGGAGAAAGGTAAGAAAGAAAAGAAAGGAAAGAGAGGAAGGAAGGAAGAAAGAGAGAAGGAAAGAAAAATAAAGAAAGGAGAAAGGAAAGAAAGGAAAGAGAGGAAAGAAAGAAAGAAAGAAAAAACAAAAGAAAAATAAAGAAGGAAAAAGGAAAGAAAAGAAAAAGAAATAAAAAAACAGTATAACCACACCTCAATATCGACAAGAGAAGGAAAAAGAAAAGAAAAGGAAAGAAATGAAAAAGGAAAGAAAAGAAAAAGAAAAAAAAACAATAGTATAACCACACCTCAATATCGACAAGTTTGTCCTTCAGGCACTGGTCTCCGTCCACAGCAAGGGACTTGAAGGCATCTAGGATAGGGCGATAGCCAGTGCATCGGCAAAGGTTCCCGTCCAAGGATTCCTCAACTTGGGCTGCGGAGAGCGACCCTGAAGATTTCAACTGTCTGTGAATTGTGAGTGATTTATTAATTGATGTAGATGATGAATTGATACCAGTAAGAATACAGATTCATTGGCAAGATACTGTTTCTATGTATGGATTCTACCTGAATGATGAAAACACTTTACCGCGTTGATACTATGGCAGAAAAACCCACAATGTAAAAACTAGATTTATTAAAGTCATTATTTCATAAATTTAGTTTTTACATTGTGGGTTTTTCTACCATGAGTTCTACCTATGCAGAATTTTGTAGATTAAAAACATGAATATTATATGTCAGTGTAAAAGTAGGAAATGGCTGAAAATTAAAAATCATTTGATGTATTGTCAGTGATAATAGGAAAAACAGTTACTGAAATAGGATTAACACATATTGACATTTAAAAGTTGATGGGATTTTCATTTTACTTTTTAAAAAATAAGACATATAAACATTAATTCAACATATATACTTCTGGATTAATGAGATAATTATTGTAAATATGGATAGGATTATATGTAAGATATGATAATCCTACTGTAGACTTGAAGGCATATGATATGATATGATAATCCTACTGTAGACTTGAAGACATAATGGCTCACTGGTAAAGATCTATTGGCATATATACTGTCAAGTCTGACATACACAGCAGTTCTGTCCCTTTAGATTAATCCTATGGTATTAGACAATGACAAGCTCCAGAAACAAAAACAAAATTAAAAACAAAAAAAAAAAAGAGACCAAACTACAAACCACAATTTTCTTCTCCTTCTTCTTCTTCTCCTCCTGTCTCCATTTTAAAATTTATTGTACATACTCACCCATACATCGTCATGATCATTCCTGGGGAACAGTAACCACACTGAGTTCCGTAAAAGCCTGTGAGAGCTTTCTGCAGCGTGTGGTACCCGTCATAGCGGTTCCCTAGGTACTCCACCGTCTCAATGGACCAGCCAGCACAGGCATAAACCAGAACCTGACACTGCCAAGTTAAAAGTGAAATGTCAATGTGGCAAGTTTTCATTATTCTATTTTCTGAAATCCAGACAGTCATAAACCTTTCAGCAACACTATAAGATATGCTAACATTATGAATAACACAGGACAGAGGATAATATGGGAGTTGTATGTTAAAATCCTTTATAACACAGGACAGAGGATAATATGGAAAAGGTATGTTAAAGTCAAGAGAAAGAGAGGATTTACTTTGATAAAGAAATAATATTGTTTGGAGATCAACCATTATAAACATATACTTCAATCATCAAAAAAAGCAGCAAAACTTGAAAATATTAAAGAATATAAAAAAAAGGTATCTGTAATGAAACTAAATACAAAATAAAGATTCTTTCAATGAAGACTAACCGCATTAACACTGAAGGTCTTATAGGCTCCCTCATGCTCGGGATCGGGTGCCGTCGCCACAACTGTACAGACGCCGCAGCCGCCTTCCCTGCACAGGACTTTGGTTCCCGGTAGCTTTACTTGCTCTCTCAGGAAGTCTATTAGGGGCATGTTCTTCGGAATTTCTGGTCCAACTGGGTAGTGGGGTAAAGAGAATGTATTTAAGTTCTGTTGTCATTTTCTTGATAGGGGTTGCATTTTTTTTCTCTCTCTTTTTGATATGAAAGGTTGTTTATAATTGTGCCTTTTATATAAATTGTATAGAACCTAACTGGCTTTAATAGTCTGTGTGATATATTCACACTGATACAGATATATTTTTTTCATTATCTATTATGTAAGTTATATATCTTTAACTTCATACATTAATGTATAACATTAAACACTTTGAAGAGGATGTAACTCTAATAAACCATTCCTTGCATCTATGACACCTCCAAAGAACAATTAATAAAACCAATTATCAGAATAGAGACAAAAAAAAACAAAAAACAAAACAAAAACAATATAAGGCTTATTACAAAGTTTATAAAACATAATTATAACGCCCTTGAATACCCACTTCTGTAATACTTGTTGTTGATCTTGATATTCAGTCGTCGAGGAGGAGCTTCCTCTCTCGCCCCGGATGCCGTGTCCTGTGGTGCCATCGTGGGGACCTCACTGACCTAGCTTGAGGTTGCGGAACGAGGTTGTTCGGGGTTGGAAACCAGACGCCAAAGCCTGTAATATAAGGGGAATTTTAAGGTTTGAGAAATTTTGCAATTTTGACTTGTAATGAGTCATGTATCATGAGTTTTGTACTTGAGAGGTTCACAGGGATATTCTATATTTACATCAATGTGCAAGTGCACACACACACACACACACATGCATAACACATGCATGCACGCACGCACGCACGCACGCGCACACACACACACACACACACACACACACACACACACACACACACACACACACACACACACACACACACACACACACACACACACACACACAAAAAAAAAAAAAAAAAAAAAAAAACATAATATATGATACCTATATTATTTTCCCAGATGTAATTTCAATGTATTAATCCCAAATGCCTTTCAGACTAATAGTAAGATCCTAAAATGGAATAGCCAGAAATCAGGTCTTCACTATCATGAAATTCCTCCCCCCCCCCCCACACACACACTCTGGGCATGGTTCATCTTCCTCCTGCCTCTCTCCATGCCCAAATTCCACACCACTTGACCACAACTTCCCATGCCTCCTGTGGGTATTGTACATTTGATTTACTTATTGAAAAGTTTCTGTCACATCAACATCTATCATTATACAAAATATAGCAATAGTGTAGGTCTTGGGGGGGAAAATGTTTTTTTTTTAGTTTATAAGCAGGGCCGGATTATGACCTTTTGGGGTCCCTAGGCTAAGGAAATTATTTTTTACTTGTGATATATTTTAGCGACATATACATAGCTTGAAGTAAACTTATTGCAAATTCTTTAAATAAACTAGCATAGCTATCTTTTGTTCGTCAATAAAAATATTCTTTAAATACCAATGTTTTACTATATTTCAACACAACCGTAGTGAAAAAACAAAAAACAAAAACAGGATAAGCCTATACTAGCCTATAGGATAATCCGGCCCTGTTTATGAGGCAATGTTTGCAGATTTCCAGAGTGGTTAATGGCTAATACAAATAGATATACCAAATACATCAAAGTTCACACAACATTAAGGTAAAATACTGTGACGAAATGGGTAAAAATATTATAAGTGGAAAGAAGAAGGTAACGAAGAAGAGAAAGAAAGAGAGAGATAAAGAAAAGGCCTCAGTCTCCGTCTCCTAAGACCTCCCCCGCCCCCTCACCACTCACACACCCCGAGACAACGAGCAAGGGAAGGGGAGGGCAGGATGGGTCATCCCTAATAAACCCTAAGGAAATTGCTAATAAACCCAAGCTTCCCCTAAAAACAACGAAAAGGGGATGGGGATGGGGGGGGGGTTACTAATCGAGGTTATGGACATTTACTTGAACCCATTCGGAAGATGCTTCACTCAGAAATGAAACACGACCATGAAAGGAGACGAAAATAATAGGCCATAATAGTAGCATTAGTAGTAGTAGTAAGAACTATGAGCACAACTAATTTTCAACTTCATTCTCTTGTAAAACATGACCATACCATCTACTGACACCCCCCCCCCACCTCCCACCCTTTCATCAAAAAGCCATGTCTTCGTATTTCTTTAATTTTCAGCATGTATTTAAATCACAAGGCTAGAGTTTAGTAAGACCATGACAGACGTACCGCCAAACACCACTAACCATCAGGGTAATAAAGCCTTATATCTCCGTCTGCCAACCACGTGCCTGAAAAACCGACCGCCGCCATTTTGGATGATATATATACAACCATTCAAAACGCCTTCTCGTTAAAGCAATAGTGTTATATCTCCGTCTTTTTTTCGGCGTATTACTCGACTTTACAAACTTCTGCTAAGGCAAGATTCCGAGAAAAAAAAGTAGAAATATGTGTCCTCGATCCATACATGTTAAAAGCTTCCGATTACAACCGAGATTGGAGAGCTTTACCGGCTTTAGAATACCCTGATATCGTGAACTACCTGGTGCTACAAACCTCGTGGGCAACCGGAGAGCAAATGAAGACAAAAAAAAAAAAAAAAAAAAAAAAAAAAAAAAAAAAAAAAAAAAAAAAAAAAACACTACAACTACAACTTCTTCATGTCTGGCTGGGTTAACACTCTTCTGACCAAGCAATTAAAAGACGGCAGAATTCTTGTTTATGGTCGGGTTAATCATTCATATCGAACAAGGGAAACTCCACTCGAAACGTGGCTTGTTTGCGAGAGAGATGGCAATGTTGTCCTTGCAAGGTTTGTAATACTGCTTTGGTTCAGATTTACATTGCCAAATAACTCGAATCGAATTATTAAAGTTTACCTTGCCCACGCGAAACTATCTCTTGTCCTTGTGAAGCTTCTAAAGCAAGTTTTGCTTCCTTTGCTGATCGTTCTTTTGACTTACTACTTCTTGACAACGAAAGTTCTGTATTTGTGGTTTCTCCTCATTGAGATCTTTACGATGGATGTGTTTCAACCAAACGCGCGACGTTCACCGAAAAGTTCTTCATCACTTTTGTCTCCGTTTTTTATTATTTTCGGTATTCTGGAAAACCTTTTCTCTGTATCACGCGTGGCATTATTACCACAAGTATATCCTGCTCACAAAGTGGACATTGATAGAGTAGAAAGGAAGCTGGAAGATATCACGGAGCGTAACACCAACTCGAACGTGAAGTGTCGCAATCTTGGGTTGTTTAATCATCCAACGTGACAGACTTCTTGTTTGAAAAAACATTGTGACGTCACGTGCACACACACACACACACACACACACACACACAAAAATGGAATTCCCGGCCAGTTGTTGCAGACATATATACTGTCCAGCGATTCTCTCGACTGAAAACGGACAATTTTTTGCCTTTCAAGATCTCCTGATTTTCTACATGATCACCTAGTCTACCACCCTGATCAACAGCCTTCTGCCATTATAATATTATTCGAGAACTTCATTAGTATCCCCTAATATATACATAATGACTTTGCGCCGCTTTTACGTTCTTTGAAAAAAAAAAATCCTTGTTTCAGACTGAACACGGTAAATATAACCACTATTTTATAAACATTACTTCAGAGCTTTCATCATTTCTCTATACTGTACCGCATTCCTTTTCATTGCACTTTTATGAAGCATATGTAAATGGATTCCTTCAAACTATTGTAAAAGAGAGAGAGAGAGAGAGAGAGAGAGAGAGAGAGAGAGAGAGAGAGAGAGAGAGAGAGAGAGAGAGAGAGAGAGAGAGAGAGAGACAGAGACAGAGAAAAGAGAAGAGAGAAAAAAGAAAAGAGAGAGAAGAAAGAGTGTGAAAGAGAGAGTCGAGAGAGAGAGAGAGAGAGAGAGAGAGAGAGAGAGAGAGAGAGAGAGAGAGAGAGAGAGAGAGAGAGAGAGAGAGAGAGAGGGGGGGAAGAGAGAAAGAAGAGAGAGAGAGAGAGAAGACAGAAAGAAGAGAGAGAGAAAGAGATAGAGAGAGAAAGAGATAGAGAGAGAGAGATAGAGAGAGAGAGAGAGAGAGAGAGAGAGAGAGAGAGAGAGAGGAGAGAGAGAGAGAGAGAGAGAGAGAGAGAGAGTGAGAAAGAAGAAACAGAGAGAGAAGAGAGAAAGAAGAGAGAGAGAGAGAGAGAGAGAGAGAGGAAAAAGCAGAGAGCAGAGAGCAGAGAGAGAGAGAGAGAGAGAGAGAGAGAGAGAGAGAGAGAGAGAGCGAGAGAGAGAGAGAGAGAGAGAGAGAGAGAGAGAGAGAGAGAGAGAGAGAGAGAGAGCGAGAGAGAGAGAGAGAGAGAGAGAGAGAGAGAGAGAGAGGGAGGGAGGGAGGGAGGGAGGGAGGGAGGGAGGGAGGGGGAGGGAGGGAGGGAGAGAGAGAGAGAGAGAGAGAGAGAGAGAGAGAGAGGGAGGGAGAGAGAGAGAGAGAGAGAGAGAGAGAGAGAGAGAGAGAGAGAGAGCAGGGATACGACGAAGGGGCATCTTCGGAACGGCTGAGGGGCATCATTATAAGGCTAAGGATGTATCACAGGAATAGTCGAGGGCGCACCATTAGACGGGCGGAAGGGGTATCAACGGAATGGCTGAGGGAACAGCAGATGAAGGGTGGAAGGGATATCAACGGAATGGCCGAACTGAGAGACAGTAGAAAGCTCCTTTACCCCCCCCCACCCACCCACCCCGCTCCCTATTTGTCGTCACAATCTGAATGCTTGTTTATGGGCATGCTTGTTACTACGTTGTTACTGCGACTGGAAGTAATTTTGGGGGGAAGGGGGGGACATGTGATAATGACAAAGTTGCAAGTAAACATACAAACATACATAGGCACGCACGAGCACGCACACGCACACACGCACGCATGCACGCACGCACGAACGCACAAACGCGCGCACACACACACACACACACACACACACACACACACACACACACACACACACACACACACATACACATACACACACACACACACACACACACCAGTCACTCCTACCTGACCGCTTTCCATAAACGGGAGATTGGGTGGGGGTGGGGGGGGGGCGTAAGAATTTCCTGAAAAGTTGAGAAGGAAAAAAATAAAAGATATGAAAAAGAAACTCTTGGTATGAATCTTTAAGTAGAAAAAAAAAATTCGATTGAACGTATGGAAGCAAGAAGAAAAAGAGAGAGAGAGGGGTGGAGGGGGAGCGAGAGGGAGGGAGGGAGGGAGGGAGGGGAAGGGGGAGGGAGAGGGAGGAGGGAGAGGGAGAGGGAGAGGGAGAGGGAGAGGGAGAGGGAGAGGGAGAGGGAGGGGGAGCGAAAGGGAGGGATGGAGGGAGGGAGGGAGGGAGGGAGAGGGAGAGGGAGAGGGAGAGGGAGAGGGAGAGGGA